GGGGGGTGAAAGGGGAAGGGGGGACAGCACGTCGGCGCTGCACCACATCGCAGTCGAATCGTCCACGTAGAGGTGCGGTGTGGCGGTGCCCGCGGCCGCCACGCCGGGGAAGGGAAGCGGGGGGCAGAGCGAGAGGGGCGAAGGTTCGACGGCGTCGCCAACACCATTAGTGGACCCTGTCAACCTGACGGCGAGGAGGCGAGGGAGGACGGGGATCGGGGGGAGCCGGTCGAGGAGAGACGGACAGTCAGTCAGACAGAGACGACGGTCGTGAGGGGTCTGGCCGCTCGCAGTGACGTCGCGGTCATGTCGGCGTGCATCAGTCTCGCTAACGCAACCTCAACGCGCCGCCGCGCCAACCGAGAGACGGAGGGAGAGGGGGGGGGGGGCGGATAGGAAGAGAGAGATGACTTGAGCGAAGGAAATTAAAAGGGAGAAGGATAGAGAAAGAGACTAGTGCCGTGTGAGAGAGAAAAGAAATACTCTACTCTTAATTGAAAATAGTGCACGTGCACGGATCTGTCTAGGGAGAGAGGGGGGGGGGGGCGCCATGAGTGCGGTGGGAAATAGTGCAGCTGAGGGAAGAGAGAGAGAGAGGGGGGGGGGATACAGCCCCCCCCCCTCTTTCCATCGTGTCCGTCACGACGGGTGGCGCTGCCCGCGCCGCGGGGCCGGCGGCCGACCCGACAGGACAGGTCATACGGTGCGGAGCCCGACCCGACCCAGCGGGAACTGCAGGCGGACGAACGACCACACCCTTGATCTTCCCTGCCCAACGAAGTTCCTTTCCCTATGCCAAGTGCACGGGTTTTCGGCTGTCTCATTCCCCCCGAAATGGACGTAGAGAAAAAGACACACATTATCTCGATTCCTACACACAGTACTGATTGCGCCATGAAAGTGACTACGTAATTTAATTTCATTATCGAGACTATGTTTTAAGGTCCACAGTAGCAGAACTTATCAAATGACTACTTATAGGCTTAAAACTACCATAGTATAGGAAATGGCTCATTCTTGTCGGTATTGATTGGAACGCAGGACCCAATCGCTGCTGTTGCTCTGCTGCCAGTCACCGCTCGCTGAACTCCGGGATGTCATATCCGCGCTGACGTTCAGCACTCGCCGTATCGCGCGCCAGCCGTCCTGGACGACTGGGACCGACTGGGACCGACCCCCTGCGCCGCCGGCCCGGTGCAGACAGACAAGCCCGACCCGAACAGAGTGGAGCGAGTGAGTGCCCGGGCCGTCCGAGTTTGATGCGTGATGCCTCCTGGCCAAGGGGAATCGCGTGCCGACGTAGCGTGGCGTGGCGGGGCATGACAGGGTCCCTCCGGCCTCTCAGCACCCAGGTCCGGTCCCCGTCAAACGTCAGCCTCGTAGCCGACATCCCGGGTCTCCGCGCGCGCGCGGCCCGAGAGGTCCCCACGACGTCCAGGCGCCGCGCCGCGCTCGCCCCGCCGCCGCCCAGGACGGCGGACGGCGTTATTCGCACTTCGATGCGGCAGCAAATCCACTTTGGAGGAGGGAGAGGGACACTCGTCTTTACGATCGCTTCAAAATCTTGACGGCGTCGTTGGACACGTTTTTACGACCTTTTAAAGGCCTCTGCCAATCCCTCCCTCCCCGCGCCACCCGCGCCGCTCTCCCTTGATAAACTCGCTGCATCTTCCGAACAGCCGTGCGAGTTAAGTGGGTGTTGGTGGAGCTCCCTCGAAACACCGCGCGGGGTCGATTAGACCACCACGGAGGCCCTCCTCTCTCTCTCCGCCCTGTTCTCTGCTCAGCGATCTCGCCCTCACGATGGATATGAAGACACCCACGGAGTCTACCGGTGGCCACCACCCGGGCCCTGCTTCCCGAGCTGCACCGCCTGGCTCGCCGGCGTACGGTGGGCGGCCCGGGCTTCGACATTCATTCCCGACGGTGGTTCTTTATTACCGCTAATCCCGCCCCACGCATGCAGGCCGCGCGCCCGTCGGCCAAATATCGAGAGAGCAGTGTGCTCCTTATTCACACGACAGTGGTAAAGAGGGAGATGGTAAAGCAGGATGTGGCACTGATTGGCCAGCTCGACGGCGTCAGCACCTCGGGGGTTAGAGTCGGCCAGCCAGCACATTCCCAGTGCACCGCGACACACCTCACAGCGGCCAGCCGCGACTTGGCCTATCATGTAATGGGCTTCAAGTGGGCCGTGCAAAACATCAGTCGACTACTTTGATTCTGAAGAGCTTCTAAAAAGCCTTCAATTCAACATTGGTACTACGGCATGCAAACGATCGGTCCATGTAAAATTTTGCCCAGAGGGTACATAAACGAATAGGATCGATGGACTGCGTGATCTCGTACTACCACACAATATCGTGTTTGTTGACTGACGTAGCCCACATACTGTACTGTAGTACGGTCCGCCGTGAGCGGGCAGCTGGCTGCACCCACGACTCGAGCAGCACGTTGCGACAGCGGCAGCCCAGCCACAGCGTATGTACGTTGGTCTGCCTACCTCCCTGGCGCCCATGTGCTGCCAACGGGCAGCAGATAAGCAGGTAGTCAGGCACTTGTAGTACCGAGAAGTAAGCAATCAAGTTCAAAGAGTAGGTAAAAATAAGCATGGTCATCTGTGGCTCTACGAGAGTGTTCAACGGAATTCGAAGGTGTTCTTTGGGGTGACGGAGGTGTTAATCCTTGAACTACGGCATACTAATATTGTCGAGCTGATCTTTCATTTCGACTCGTGTTGCCGTCGCCACGACAGCCCGTCGGCAATGCTCTGTTGTATGTGACTCACCCTCACAGCCGGTGTCGGGGTTGTCGTAGTGGTGCAGCAGGCAGCCCCTGCAGTGGGGCGGCGCGTACCCGTCCCTGCACGGGCACTGGCCGGTCACCGGGTCGCAGGCGGGCGCCGAGGAGCCGCGCGGGTCGCAGGCGCACGCCACGCAGCCCGCCGTCACGTTCCCCAGGCCGTCCGCGCAGCGGTCGCACGTCCTGCCGGTGAACCGCGGCCTGCACTCGCACTGCCCGCTGCCGGGGTGGCAGGCGTCGGCCGCCACGCTGCCCGTCGCGCTGCACTCGCACGCTGAACGGGGGAGGCAGAAAACGAAAATCAGACGTGTCAGCCGGCAAAGCGAAGCGTGAGCCGGCCGCGCAAAGATGACTCACGTCGACACAAGCCCTTCTCGGGCTCGCCGTAGTGGCCGGGCTTGCACTTCTCGCAGCGCCAGCCGTCCGTGTTGCCCGGGCAGCTGAGGCAGCGGCCCGAGAGCGGGTCGCAGGGCCCGCCCGCGCAGTCGCAGGGCCGGCAGCGCTCGCCGGGGACCGTGGGGTCGCCGTAGTGGCCGCCCGCGCAGCGGTCGCAGTGCTTGCCCGCGTGGCCCGCCGGGCACGCCGTGCACACGTAGTCCTCCACCACGTCGTTGTTGTCCGTCACGTCCGGCGTCTGCAGCTCGCACGTCGGGCTGAAGTTGTTGGAGGGCAGCAGCAGCGGGCAGGCGCACGGCCGGCAGTCCCCGGGCAGGCCGCGCAGCGCGTCTCCGAAGAAGCCCTCTGCGCAGCGCTCGCAGCGCTCGCCCGCCGTGTTGTGCTCGCAGGGCTGCGGACAGGGAGAGGTACACCGTAAGCTCGGGGCTCAAGGAGGAGCCGGGCGGCCCGCACCCGAAGGTCAGGACGCTACTCACCCCACACGCGTTGGAGTCCGGGTCGCAGGTGGCGGCGTGGCCGTTGCAGTTGCAGCGGGCGCAGAGGCCGCGGTGTCCGGAGGCCAGTCCCGTCGTGGCGTTGGAGGCCAAGCCCTGGGCCGACACTCGGGCGTGGCCCCAGGCGCAGGACTCGCAGGACAGCCCCACGTAGCCCTCGGGGCACGCGCACTGCTCCACCAGCGTGAGCGCGCCGCCCGCGTCCTCGGTGCGCGCCTGCTCGCCCCGCTGCAGCACGGCCGTCTCCAGCGCGCCCTCCACCTGGTCCGTGTGGTACTTGGCGCGCACCAGCACGTGCTCCACGTCGGCCAGCACGGACAGCAGCTGGTTCCTCGTGGCCGCCTCGCCTCGGTACGGCGACTGGTCCTGGTCCGCGCCCGTTCGCCTCAGCCGCGTCGAGATGTCCCGGACGCCGTCGCGGAGGAGGTACCACGACGAGCCAGGCACCTCCCCGCCGTGCGCCTCGCGTAGCGGCACGACCACCGTGGCGTTGTGCTCTACGTGCACGTTGTCGCCGTGCCCGATCCGCATGCCGTTGGAGCCCTGAAGAGGGAGAAAGAGAGAAGTGAGATGTTGGTCTGACCGCGGCTGATAGAAAGAGAAGGGCGGGGACGATGATACTCACGATGAGGATGAGGTCCGGGCCAGCCGTAGGCTTCCCGCTCGTGTCGCCCCGCATCACCACCCAGGACGTGCGGAAGGTCATGGTGCTGCCGTAGGACGCCAGTAGGTTACCGCGGTAGGACGGCGGCGCCACCCAGTAGTACGAGTCCACGTCGAGATCAGCGTCGGCCACCGTCAGCAGTCCCGTGTCTTGGTCCACGACCGGCGTCACGGTCTCGGTGACCCGGATGTCACCCACGAGCCAGCCCTGGTACTGGTCCACCTCGGCGAGCGACAGCACGGCCTCTGTGCAGTCCGTCGTGATCCCGGAGCAGTAGCACGCCGAACATCCGTTGGGGTCGCGGGCGTCCAGGCCGAAGTAGCCGGGGCGGCAGCGGTCGCAGCGCGCGCCCTCCACGTGCGCCTAGACGAGACGAGGAGAGGCATGAGGCTCGGGCAGGGGACACATGACACAGGGCCAGGAAGATGAAACTACACACACTAGAATTGAAATGATTAAACTTTGCTAATCGGTTCTTCGTTAAAGGTAAACGAATGTATGGCTAAAAGAAACTAGTCTGAGAAGCTCATTAAGGTCTGTGCAACTTCTCTGTATCTGTAGGAGACTTGTCTGGGCTGGACAACTCCGAAAACTTTAGTCAACCTCTGCCGAAATTCTTCGACGTTATTTTCCCCTAGCTCCGCTATCCTACGACCAGAGGCCGCTCGCGGACTGTGCCGATAATACGCCCTGCGAGCTGCGAGCTCGGCAGGGACTTCCCCTCACCTTGCAGAAGCACTCGCCGTCGCAGTCAGCGGCGTGTTCGGATCCACGCAGGTCGCAGGGGCACGGCTCGCACGCGGGGAAGTTCCGGAAGCCCGGCGCGCACCGGTCGCAGTGGTAGCCGGCGTAGCCGTCGCGGCACTCGCACGCACCCGCCTCCTGCGAACAGAGACGAGGATTAAGCCGTCGTCGTCGTGGCACATCGCGCACCACCTGACTGGCAAAGCTACTCACCACTACGGGGTTCGTGTCGTCGGGTGCGCACACCCCCGTGGAGCCCTCCGGGTGGCACTCGCAGGGCACGCAGGGCTTCGCGACGTCGACGGCCACCCCGGACGGCCGGAACCACCCGATGGCGCACCGCTCGCAGTTCACTCCGGTGGTGTGGTCCTGGAACATAAGGAACGGTATATTTTCGATGGTCAAGATGTTACTTTGTTTGAAAACGGCGCCCTCGCGCCGTCGGTACAGTACTTACAGAGCAGTTGAGGCAGACGCCGCCGCCGCGGTAGGCGCCGTGCCTGTCCAGGGAGGCGGCGGCGCGCGCCACCTCGGGGTCGTAGCGGCAGGCGCGCGCGTGCCCGTGGCACTGGCACTCGACACAGGGCGCGCCGTGCTGCCAGGGCTCCTGGTTGAAGCGCGGCCGGCAGCGCTCGCACGCCGCGCCCTCCGTGTTGTGCTGGCAGCGGCAGCCGGACGCGCGCTGCGCCTGCACCTGCGGGCAGGACGGGAGAGGAAGCGGCGAGTCAGAGGGCGGCGCCCGCGGAGCAGAGGGTAGGCAGCCCATTCGACACGGCGTGCGTTGGGCTGCCGAGCCTCGACGGCGCTGGGGCGACGTGGAGCGTTGGTCTCAGCTCAGCTAGCTCATGTTATACATTAAGAACCACAACATCTTCCCCAGAACAAAAAGCACTAATCAACGGAGTTGTTGCAAAACAACGCGTTTCCCACTCACCCCGCTCTTGCCGGCACCGCCGTTGCACTTGCTGGCGTGTCCGTTGCAGTCGCACTGCGCGCCGATGGACAGGAACTTGATCGAGTAGAAGGCCCTCCTGGGGTCGGCGAGCGCGCCGCCGGCCTGCGACAGCTTCTCCAGGCGCAGCCGCACGCGGCGCGCCGCCTGGAAGGCCCTGAGCGGCTCGGAGGAGGCGTTGGCGCCGGGCCGGCCCTTCACGAGCCACGTGTGGACCTGGAGAGGCGGCAGAGAGAGAAGGGTGAAGGAGTGTGGTGGACGTGGGCCGGGCCGGCCCTTCGTGATGGTACTTACGGCGGCATCCTCGGCGGGGTAGGCCTTGGAGTGGAAGCTGGTGCAGATGACCTCGTCGTCGCGGTCCAGGGTGACCTTGGCCGGGTCGCCCGGGGTGGCTGGCACGCCGTAGCGGCTCCAGCAGTCCTCGTCTGTCGGCGCGAAGTACTGCCACGGCGTGAACGTCTCCCCGGCCTCGTCCGTGCTGCGCTCCAGGACCCAGGCCGCCGGCCGCGGGCTGGGGCCCGTCTTGAGGATAACGTAGGAGACGAGGTACACCTAGAGGACGGGGCAGACGGAAGAGTCGGTGGTGATTCCTTCTCGTTTCGTTGGTTTTACTCGTAAGTCTCACACGCCATTAGAAAGTGCTACACGTGGAGGGAGGGCCTATCTCCGGGGCGCATCTAAATGAAATGACCCGCCACGCCCCCGCCTTGGCCCCGGCCGGGCGCGAACACCTCGGCATAATGGACGCTAATCACAATAAATCGACCGAAACGCAATTGATTGGACGCATTGGGGAGCAACAAGAGGAGGCCGGATCAGCTGATAGGGAATCGACAGCGGCGAATCGGGAAGGCTGGAAGGGGGGGGGGGTCCGGATCAGGGACCCCATCGCGTCACCGCAAGACTTGGTCCACGCAGGGGGGCGGTGCCCCCGTCCGTGTACAAGACGATCCCACACTCAGCCGGTGACTCAGAGGGAAAGGTGGGGAGAGAGGGAGAAAGAAGGGGGCGGGGGTGGGGTACGCGACGCGGTGTGAAGCGCCGACTCGAGCGCCGCAGCAGCGCTCGCTAAAAACTCTTTCCTTTGTGCGAAGTGTGTGTGTGTGTGTGTGTGAGTGTGTGTGTGAGCGCGCGCGCGCATGGAATGTCCCACACCGCTTAAATCGCCCGGGCTCCGCCAAATAAGCGGCCAATAAAGTAATTGGCGGGCCGAGCGGTCGCTTTGAGGCCCGCTTACTAAAGAAGAAGAAGAGTGCGACTTGAGGGGATTCGGCAAAGATTCGACAAAAATTTCAATTGTTTTGCTTTTTATTTCGTCGGTGTTCCCCTTCAAGAGCCGGAGACTATTTTAGTCTCTTTAGTCTGTACGCTCCCGGCGGTGGCCGGCAGCTCGTGCTGCTCCGGGCCGGACGGGCCGGACGTTCCACCGCGGGCCGGGCCGGGCAGCAGCGGCGGCCGGCCGGCAGCACCTCAGTCCGGCGAGTCCGGCCAGCACCGGCCCGGGCCCGGCTGGACGGGCCACCTCCTCGCACCGCCTGTCGGCCTGGTACCGAACTGGAGCAAAAGTGCCTTCCAGCTTCCCGCTCGCTTTGAATCTGGACGTGAATCGCTCTGGAGGGGAGGCAGGCCCGTGCCGAGGGCTGTCGGCGCGATCGGCGCGGCGGGCAACGGCAGGTGAGCTCTTCCCCGCCTGGAAGGCGCCGTGTGGGTAGGCAAACCCACCGACACTGATGCCTTTCCTATTACAACCCGGTTGTACAGATTAGCACGGTTTAGCGCCGGCAAGGAAAAATCAAGTTTTTGAAACCATTCGAATTAAAGCTACAAATGAAGGATAACACTTCAGAGAGTACACTCTGCTGGTCCCTCTCGATCGCTTGGAGCTGCTGGTGCGCCCGTTTGGGGGTGGGGTGGGGGGGGCAGGTCAGGTGACTCGGCTCTGGCTGCTGCTGTAAGAGCAGCGTGATGAAGCACAGCCTCCCGGTCGTAATCAATGAGCCTCCTCTGGACCCAGCGGTCTGAAAGGTCACACTACACAGGTAAGGCGGCAGTCCTCTCCGCGCTGCCCCGCCCCGCGCGGACCAGCAGGCTTGTTACCGGGTAATCACCGCAGGGGCAGCTGACGAGCACACCGCGGCCACCGGGGCGCCCCGTCGAGAGCACCACGCCGTCGGCCACCCTCCCCGCCAAATGTCATGCTCATGGTACACACTCGTGAACCATTCCTGTGGGAGAACTTCCGTCGTGCGTGGTGATTCGGCATTCAGTTTCGATCCATCGTTCGCAGCAACGAGCGCCGCTCGCTCGCAGTTCATGACCCGGCTGTCGAAAGGGAAATCTTTGGCGGTCGGGGCGGAACGACACGGTCGGTTCGGCTGGGCCGGTCGCACGGTGGCCGGGGCTCGCTGGGGCTGGCTGCGGCCAGGCTCGCTCCGCAGGCTCCACGGGCTCCGTCCGCTCTCTGGGGGCACAAGCCTTATTTGGAGGCTGAGCGGCTCGGCCCGCGCCAACATTCCTGGCCCAGCCCAAGCCGGCCGTGGCCGCGCACGGCAGTACCGCGACAGTAGTGCCTGACAGCGTCGCAGTGCGCCCCCCTCCCCCTCCACCGTGATGGCACAACCGCCACTCCGCTCCAGCACCACCCTGGTACCACCATAGAGACTGGGGAGGGTGCCACCCAGCGCCCCCGCGGAGGTTGGTGCATACGAGGAATACGGTGCATATTACACTGAACTGACCTCCACCACGCCAACGCCACATCCGAGTCTGGCGTAATTGTGCAGAACGCCCGAGAACGCTCAATTCGCCCACACCAGCTAAACCTAACCTATCCGTGCAATCCACCCAGACAAGATACCGACTGTGAGAGATGATCTTGCGATGATCATGTGTTGAGCACGTGATGATCATCTGATGATCATCTGATGATCATCTGCTCCGCTCATGAGATGATCAGCGAAAGGGAACCGTGTTCGATGCGACCCGAGTGCAACTCAGGTGCAACTCAGGAGGGCGCAATCCAAAAGAGGCAGAGCGGCCTCTATTGTCTCCTTTAACCCCCCCCCCCCCCCCATCAGCGTAAATAGGTCTCGAAAT